AGTGACTGGGTATTATATAGTTCTTTTAGAGGTAGACAAAACATCTCTGTATTGGCCAGTTTTATTCCCATACCTTCAAACTGCTATTCAGCAATAGCACTGGTATTTCCAATCTCTTCCCCAAGCTGTGAATGCTTCATTTCCAGTATTTTAAGCACTTCTGTTGTGCAAGGGATTTTCCCCCCTCGATTTCAGTCAGCCAGCAGCTGCAATGTACCTACAAGGTGGGTGCAATGCCTGTAGTTTTCAGTTTCTCACATGTTTTCTCTCTTGCAATGTCTTTCCTGAGGCCATCTGTGGCAGGCTGGATGGGCAGGTACAAATCGTTCTCATCAGCTGATCTCAGGTATCTGGTAATATTTTGGCAATGTTAATTCAAAGTGAGATCTATTTTTTTACCTTTCCCAATTTATACCATAATGAGTCTGCGGAGTCAGCTGCTGAAGATCAGCCTGCACGTGCAGTAACCTTGGACAGTCAGAATGTGTAAGCTTCTTCAAATACCATTCTGGGAATTAACCTCACACTCAGTCTTTTCCACATAAATCCCGTGAGAAAGGGAGTGATGTGACGTTCTGTGAATTGGCTTTTGACAGTGCATACTGTACCCCATCCCCGATTATAAGCCGGTATTTATTGGTTTTATAATTCTGAGATGAGACTCACTTACATTTTCTTGATTCGCATATAGTTGTTTTTGACACAATAATTGAGAGCCAATACACTCCAAACCACCGTGCTAATTATTGAACAATCTCGCCTCTCTCAAGCAAGGGAAACAGAGTAAATTATTTGAGTAGTGGAAAGGGAAATATGTCGGTTGAAAAATATGTTTTTATGAGCCGATACTGGATCTGACAATACAGATGTTGGCAAGAATGAAAGGAATCCCAGTTCAGTTTTCAAAAAGGTATATTTTCACAGAGAACATGTGTCTTCTGGGAACCTTTAATTTAATGTACATTGGTTTCCTATTTTAAGAAAACAATTTGCTGTTAAACACTATGCCAGCCAGACATACATTTTTTAAGCAAAAACGCTTTGTCCTGAAGTATTTTAATGGCCTAAAGAGCAGGAAATTGCCTGTGACATTTCAGTTTTTCCATTCTAAGGGAAAAATGGTCCAAGGTCTAAAAATAGCTCTCTCCTGAAAAACACCCTCCCTCTCATCATTGTAATATACCATAAGCCATGTGACAACAAAGACATTTCTTTCTGAGCCTAGCGTTGTTTTTAATCAGCTAAATCGGCAATTAAGGCTGTCTTCATATAAAACTGCTGACTTGAATAAAAATTTTTTTTACTGACTTAACCTGACTAATTTGATGACCTACTCTGCAGTACAATGTCTCCAGTTCCTCCCTCTTCCTTTATCTGAACACAAATGATGGTGGGCAGCATTGCATATTCACCTGGGCAGAAAATCTCAGTAGACTTTGTCCTATTGGCCTGTTTTACTGCTAGGCAACTTTTTAGCTCCATCCACTATTTGAGCATCCATCTCTGAGAGGAGTATTGAACACATATTCATACACATTTTGGTCTGTGGCCATGAACGGACAGGTGAGGTAGATGGTGCGCGTAAATGAGGTTAGCACAACGCATCGTGTAGTAGATGAACGCCAAGGAGCATGTTATGGAGGTCAAAGATGGGTGCCTTATCATTACACCTGGATACCCAGCAGAACTCAAAGGGAGCCTTGGTATTCAGATCATGCCCCCAGCAGTGAATTCAGACGTGTGAGTGAATCACAAGATACTTGTTTATTGTCAACTCAGAAAAAATAAAGCGAGACTGGTTTATGTGTAGACTGAGGCCAGCGTGGAGACATTCCTAGACAGGGTGGAGCCCACAGGGCGAGCAGTGCTGTCACTGGGGAGGCAGCAGGTCCCAGTCTGCACTGAAGCTGGAGACGGAGCTTCACGATATGATCTCTTCAGCGGTGAAATTTGCTTAAGAGGTTCTTGCCCCTTATCTCTCTACCTTAAGGCCCCGACCACTCACTCCTGTCTGCATTGCAGCTTGCTGCCTGTCCTCAACTGTGCTACTACAAGGGATTGTGCGGCCAGGCTATAGCGTAGCTCCGTAAAGCAATCTAGGTTAAAAATAGCCTTCCAAAAAAGTTTTGCATTTTTGAGTTTTAAATCAAAATAATTTCATTTCAGCTGCCTGATTTTGCAGACAACCCTAAAAATAGCTATACAAGCACAACCGACATGGTAACAAACTGACCTACTGAAAGGTGACTTAGCTTCTCAAATTCTAAAACAAATGTGTCACAAAAATATGCACAAAGCAGCTATGCCTCCTCGCTGGTGAAGTAAAAGCACAGGAGCTTTGCTGTCCTCCAATACCAAAATCTGAATGAATGCAAATGTTCACTAAAATTTAATGAATCACACAGCCTTGAGGGATCAAGGTTAGACAGGCTTGATCCCATTGGAATCGATGGAATGGCTTTGCCCCTCCCTTGCTCTGAGCTAAGATTTGGGTTTTTTTAATTCTATCTCTTCTTCAGGGAAGGACTGGGAGTTTTAATATAGCCTCTATTTAACCATAGACTACATTTTATCATATATCAATATATAATCTGGACCATGTGACTATTGATAGACTGCTGTATTAGAGATCTAGAAAGTACAGTGGGAAAGGATACCAAGAGCTGCATGTAGTCACCCCTCTGTCTTGAGATAGGCTCACTCATACCTACAGTCTTCATGGCACTATTTATGTCAACTTATTTTTGACAAAATGTTATTTTAAAACCCCACACATCTCCTTAGGTAATCTATTCCAGTGTTTAGCTGGGGAATTTCCACACCATCTAGCCTACATTTGACACACACACCACCGTGTTTCAAAGCCATACATCAGGACAGATGAACATAATCACCGGTGGAAACAGCTGTGGCAGCAACGCAGAAACTTGGCATGTGTCTGATGTTGTTTGTTCCTTTTTCTTTTAGCCAAGAAGAATACGTGTAAATCGAACCCAATCATTTAGTGAATGTAGCTAACAAATACAGTTGGGGTTACTGACATTTCTGTGCATACGTGAACTCAAAAAAGTTGAAGAATCAGTCATTTTCTGTTAAAGTTCAAATTCCTTGCCAGGGAATATTGGTGGTTTATTAATGTGAGGAAATGCTGGCATAAACACATGGATAGATCTTTTTTTCCTTACAACTACAATAAGATAAAATCTAATATTATTGTAGGCCCTGTGGGAAGAGATAACAGTTCTATTGACTTGCACATTTAAAAATGAAACCTACCAACATTGTAAAGGATGTATAGTAGAAATCAAACTAGAAACAATATATAATAAACAAGCTATTAAATTACTTGCCTTCATTGAAACACCACTTGAAAGTGCTTTGCAGCATTGTAAACAGTCAAAACAAATCCCTGCAGCGGATGAAAAATTTACCAATGATGAGATAAGCTGCTGTTTCAGAAGAGACTGGAAGACTGGAGAGGAAATGAAGGTGCTATAGAGATTCTGTATAGACAGTATAGTTGAGACAGTGTGGAGGAAAAATTGGACTGCTAGGATAAGTTGAGGTAGTAACAGCCACAAGCAATAAGACTTGGTTTGCTGGCATTTTACCTTTTCTTGTAATGTACAAGAATTATTACATTTTTGTTACATTTTCTTTTCTTCTTTGAATCCATGAGTATATTAGAAAATAGAGGACAATTAAAAGAGTAAAACTAAATTACTTAGATTCCTGTAGCATTTCTTTAAAAGTCTAATAACTTTGGGGGGAACCTGTTTTCAAGAGATCATCAGTTTGTCAACACTGTTTACTCATTCTTCTCAACGTCTTAATTATTTTTTTTAATTGCCCTTATTGCAGCATGTGGGACATTTTTCCTCTCTCTTTTTTTTTTTTTAATGGCACTGGCATATGAAATGCTACTTAAATGACAAATTCATTTCACCTAACTTTATCTAGCTTAGGTGAAGTTTGGTTGTGTATGCCAGAGTTAGCAACTGTAGTTATCACAGCCATTACAGTGGCTTAAGAGAACCAGGTTTTTAGGGAGCATGACGTCTCCCAGCCATTCTAGGCATCTATTTTGGAAAAAAGCTCTCTTTGTCTCTACATTGACTATAAATGGAGCTTGAAGTGACCAGTTTAGGTATAGATGTCTACATCAGGTCAAATGAATCATACCCTGAAAGTTATACTGGATATTCCCGGTTACTAAGAGCACTGATTTTGACAGCAGTTTTGTAATAACTTGTAGAAGTTGTTTCCGTCTTTTGCAATACCTGTGGGTTTGGTGAAGTGTCTGATGAAGAAGCAAACACTTGCAGACTTTTTGGCTCTGCCTAAGTGAGGAACTAAGAGCGCACCTTGCCCACAGGCAAACATGTTGCAACATAAAATGCAAATAGCTTGAAAGAAAAATAGAAGCATTAAAGACACAGCATTTTATGTGCCCTAGAGGAAGAGGAGAAACTGGCAAGACCTTGGTAAGACAATTCAGGGAAGACTCATTTGACACAACCGTGATGACACTCATATTATTGGTGTTAAAAGTCTTGACTTGTCACAAAACGTACTTTGCTACAGATGTAATTAAATAATGGACAAAATAGTTTAGTACCAACAAGGAAACAAGTTCACATTTAATACGTCTGATTTCACGTTTTTCTAACAGGACAGTAGTTCAGAGTCAGTTTTTTGAAAATGATAAATATCTTACACAAAAAAATAAATTAATCAATAACGTTTGTATATACAAAAGAAGACAACTGGTAAAACTTAATCACAGTTGCTGCTCAACAGCAATTCTCTCAAGGACGAACCTCTGGTCATATATGTTACAACTAAGACTGTAATTCAGCTGGTTCATATAACAAAATAGTGTGGCTGCTATAGACTAAAATTAAATTCTGCAGTTCCTTGACTATAAAATCACTCGTGCTGCTGCCCTTATCTCTTGACTATGCTCTTGTTCTGAAGCAGCACGGGAGGAATTTATCCTGTCAGGATTTCGTGATAGCGTTTGCGGTTGCTGGAAATCTGTACGAGAGAGAAAAAGTCCCACTCAGCAGCAGGAGGACGACAGCTACAATCCCGATAGGAATGGCAGCGCCGGCTTCCTGCGCCGCTGGGCTGGAGGGCATGTCGTAAGAAGGAGGAAAAGCGATGCTCTGGTTGTGCGTTACCGAATAGAAATTCCAGCTCACGGGAATCAGGACGCACAGACCAGCGAGTATGTAGAAGCAGCCACCCACCAGGAAGAAATGGGTAATGAGAGTTTTGCGAGTGACTCCCATATAAACATTCCTCAGAGCAAATATTGTGGCAGTCACTCCCAGCAAGCCCATGAACATGGCGATCAACAGGAGACCCTGAGCAGCATAAATTTCGTGGGGGATGGAGGAGTCATAGCCACTGAGTTTGTGGCAGAACTGTTCTTTATAGCCAGGCGAGACGTGAAGGTAACTGATGAAGCAGACTTTCCAAATCCCCACCCAGGCAACGCCAGAGGAGATGATAGTGGTGTTGTCCACATGCCACACTCTCCATTCCACCATTCCCATTGAAATGGTGCACAGGATCCAGCCTACCGTACCCAGAGCGAAGGCGGCTAGCTGGAGGTGCGAGCTGCGGGCCAGGGAGCTCATCCTCCGGAGGTCTTCTACTCTGTCCCAGACACGGCTGCCATGCGAAGAGAGGCACTGGGAAGAAACACGGTATAAAATTACAAAGGCAGTTATTATTTGGGTGAATAGGTGAACCGGTTAGTGAAAAAGAAAAAGCAGGAGAGAATATGTGCACAGGGGGAGGGTGGTAGTCATCTTTCCCCAGCTGTAATGAATTCTTGAAGTTTTAATGTCCGTAGACAAATAGCATCTAGGTTTTAATTCTGTATATGTCATTGTATCAGAAGGAGAAGAAAGGGTCTCTGATTAGCTCCCTTTACAATCTCATTTTTACATTCACAAAAGGAAATTTCACATCTTCTTCCAAGTTATTTTCTTCCTCGGTAATTAACCATTATGCTCAAAGATCCTTATACACATTACATGTAATAGGAGCCCTAGGGTTACTGGCTAGTAGAAACTAAATCTGACAAAATCCGCAGATCCTGGCTGTTGCACGAGATCCTACGAAGCAGCTGCAGAAGCCGCTCTCCTCTCCGCTGGCAGCCGCGATTTCAGTGCAGCGGCCAAACCCAACAGACCTTCTGCTCTTGTGCCACCTTTACTGAGAGCTGCTGGGACCAGCGTTAGGCGGAACGCACCGTAGTTCAGAGGCACGAGCAAATCCAGGCCACAAAGTCTAATAACGACCACTGAACATTGACCTTTTTTAGATTATCTAACCGTGAATGCATCAGCAGAAGCACTTGAATTAATCAGAAATATATAGTGCTCTGTGCAGGGGCTGGAGCCTGGATCTGCTGCCTTTGCTTTCCTCCCCTCAAACTTTAACCAAGATTTCTTCAGTGTTTTACCTTTGCAAATCACACTCATTCATAACCTGCCCAACTTGTCCAGTTCAAATCATCCTAACGCTGTGGTGGAAAAGATTTTAGTCATTTAACCTAGCAAAAGATTTTAGGTTTGTTTGCTGACTGTACATTCTAAGTGCAAATTAGGGTTTTATTCTAAAAAAAAAAATAAAAAACCTGTTAATTTCCTACATCTTTCAACAACCTTCTGAGCAATTATAGGAATGATCTGTGATTACAGAAGATGTGGCCTTGAATTTATTATGTAGATCTGAGATGTTCTAGGGATCTTTATGAGTTATCTAAAATACCTTTTCTGCTGCTCCCATTGCATTCAAGACTGAAGAAATACTGTACCAAGTTCACTCTAATAATAAGACGACAGATCTGCAACTTTTCTAGCAATAACTTTTCTATTTACTTATCTTAAACAAACAGATTCAGTTGGTGATACAATCTAGTTGCAAAAATCCATCTGCGGAAATCTTAAATAAAAAATATCTTCGTAACAATATGGCCTTAAGCAAACATTGTCCATCCTCTCATACTGGTGCCCACCATATACTTACTTCAGTCCTGAAGCTGATGCCAGTGATAACAGGATGGGACAGAATGAGTTTTGACGCCAGCCAAACACAACAACATCTGCAATTTTATCGTTTTGGCCTCCCCATTCATCTATGTATCTCCAATAGAACTGATTTCCTGTGGGACATATTAATCTCCATTATTGCAAATGTACATTTAATCCCTTCCTGCACAGAGGAAATTGCTCCAGAATAGCCTTCTGTGGTTTTTATCTACTTAAACCAAAACCAATTTATAAATGGTTTCTCAATCTGCTACATTATTTACAAAGTGATTGTAAACCCCCCTATCTAATTAAGAGTTCTTACCAGCCACACAGCATAGTCGCCCCACAGGGCATTATGAATCGTTTTCTTTCCAGTTCCACATCAAAATACTGTTGTTTCTGTACATGTCTAGGGGAAGATGCTAGACCGAAAAAAGCGTGATCAAAGGAGTCCTGCGCTGAGTCCCTTCTGCTGCTGTTTGAATTAGTTGAGCACACAGAGGCCAAACCCAAACCATATTAAAATACCATTTTGTGCAGAGCCCGTATTTCTGTAACACTTTTTGTATACGTCATAAACATTCATTTAAACCACCTGCTGATATCAAGGTCGTAGAAGATAGGCAAGCAGGCCGATCCGTGTCATTGAGAGCTCTTCAGAGTATGGTATCAGTGTTTTATCTTAATGGATTGAATTTGCCCACCTGTCTGCTCACAGAATTAAATGAGATTGTATCCGTGATTACCGAGCCCTCTACCAAACCTTCATGTGCTAAGCTACTTAGAATGGTGTCCAGAGTTGAATTATAAAACTAAAAAATAGGAAAAGTTCTTTTTTTTTTCCTGTGAGATTCACAAAACATACAGAACAAGCAAACATGCAGGCTGAAAGAATTCAAGGCTTATACAAAAATTCTGAAAACATAGGAGAATAACCAGCTAACACAGATGGGCTTTAGATGAGGTACCAAATGTCTAGACACAAAAAATTGCTTATGTAGGAAATGATTCATTTCGGCTCATTTCTCCACACCCTGCCCGCTGGAGCTTATTTGATGTAACGTGGTATCACTGACTTCGAAACAAGTCAAGGTGAAAAAGAAAGACTTCTGAGATCGATGATGGAATTGGATTACAATTCTCATACTTGCCTGTTTTGGAAAGTCAGACAGAAGCCTACGCTTGTGACCTCTTGGTATTAAGAGTCAGCAAGAAAATACGGAACAAAATATCAAGGTGAGATAGAGGAATTTGCTTGCCATATGAAAACACGTCAAAATTAAGGCAAAGATGTGGCTCCTGGTTCCAGCCTCTACCATTATGAATATTAATAAGCACCCCGTAGGTTTTGCTGGTCTCCTCAAACGAGGACAGAGGTGTCACCTGCCAGACGCGTTCGTTTCAAGGGGACCTTGGGGTAAGAACGCGTTCGGTCCCCAGTGTCCGGCACAGCCCCTCGGCCCACGGCGCCCCGGGCATCCCGCGGGGACGTGGGCGTCGGGGACGCGCCTTCCCCCCGTGGACCGAGGTGAGGGTCGTTTTTCAGGAGTCCTGGGGCCAGCATTTCCAAAAAACACAACAACCAGAAGACGTTTCGCTTGCAGACGCCAAGTGAAACTGGGAGCGAGCTGCAGAGGGCGACTCCCGCCAGGATTTGACCCAACTCGGCGGCTGGGAGAGCTCGGGCGAGGGGGAAAGAGGGACGGAAAGGAAAGGGAAGGGAAGAGAGGAAAGGGAGGAAAGAGAGGAAGGAAAGAGGGAAGGAAAGAAGGAGGGAAGGAAGGAGGGAAGGAGGGAGGGAAGGAAGGGGGGAGGGAGGGAAGGAGGGAGGGAGGGAAGGAAGGAAAGAAGGAGGGAGGGAAGGAAAGAAGGAGGGAGGGAAGGAAGGAGGGAGGGGAGGGAGGGAAGGAAGGAAGGAGGGAGGGAAGGAAGGAGGGAGGGAGGGAAGGAACCAACCTCATAGCAAGAAGAGTGACAGGGCCGGGCGCGTGGCTGGGGCTCACAGCAGCCCTGACTTTAGCAGTGCCCTTCCCATAGGTTTCAGAGAGAGGCATTCCCGTTGGAAAGGAAGATCCATCACTAACTTGCCATTTGCATAAAAAGAGGGAAGAAGTAATATTTTTTCATAAAATCTTTTGGTCCCTGTGCAAATGCCCTCTCCAGCCTTCTGAGAGAAAAATGCAAAAGTTCAGTCCCTGCGTGTTTAGAGCTATACTGGATAAAATACAGTTCAAAGCCCAGGTGATATGGCAGTCTGTGCTAACACAGACAGCATTGGCATGATCTATTGGCTGGCTTCATACTTCGGTAATTATATAAATATTTTGAATTAATTTAATTAGTATAGAAAGATTACCTATATGGTCTGAATAATATGGTGATGTAACACTATATGAAATTTCCTAAGGCATATGAACTCATATTCACTCAGCTACAGGCAGTCTTCTGAACAATTAGTTGGTGTTACTGGCATGCAGTTCTTGATGTGGAAGCTCACTCAGAGCTGCAGATTTCAGCATTCAGAGTTTGCGTGCCAGCTATTTCATGGGATGGAGGTAGCCTACAAAGGCAGACTTGACAGGAGGAACAAGCTAGGTCTACGTGGTGTGTGTGCCAGTGGACAAAAAACATGACTGAAACCCCTTTTCACCCAAAGAAGCAAGAGAAGTGTGTTAAGAGGCGGCTACAGTTCCATCTCTTGGTGTCCCATGATTTCATCAACACTTTCATTTCAAATCCATTCAGTCCAATCCAACAAGCATTCTAGCAGCTTCTGGGGACAGTCTTTGGAAAGTTTAGACACAATAGCTAAAAATAGAGAGCTGCTTCTACAGGCTTCTCGCCCAACAGTCCCTTGCTATCATTTTTTCTCTCTTAATACATCTTTCAATTCCTTCATTAGAAAGGGCTTTCCTTCATAGATGTATTTTTAACTAAATACCCTACCTGAATAAAAACAAAATGTAAACTTGCTAGCATTCAATCAAAATTTGCACAGAGAAGACAGAAGCTAACTGTAAAAGATGACACATGCTAGTGAATTCATCCAAATACAGAAACTTGAAGGATCCTTTTGTCTTTATTGCTTATTTTTATTTAAATGAAGCATTGCACAGTGGGTAGCTGTTTATGAAAAGTGTGTTGAGCCATTGCCCGTATACTTCAGGGACAGAATGAGACAGGACTTTCCCCCTCTCAGTTACAAGAAACAGATGAGGATGCCCAGGAGCTCTGTTAACTTTCCTACAGCTGCAAGCTTGCTTCTAGGGGAAAAAATGCAAGCAAGCTGCTCTCTCAACTGCCAAATGCTTTCACGGAGGGGTTTTTTGGGTCATCTGTGCATCGGGCTTACCTTTAAAAAGACTAAAATGAAATGCTGCAGACAGTAAAGGTCAGTTCTCTCTGGCCACAGTCCCATCTCCTAATGTTCTCAGCAGCAGGAGCAAACAGAAATGGAGCTATACTTGAAATTTTGTCAACACTTCTTTTACTTCCAGTAATTGCTAGTGACAAAAGGCTGGGGCTATGATACCAGTTCTCAGAGTAGATAAACCTAAATGGCACCAAATGCATTTCACTTCTGGAATTAATATTGG